ATTTATACATGCACTTCAGTTAACAGGATCACAGCACTTGGTGGGGGGAATGAATCCTCTGCTGGTATAAACTGGCATTGCTCCATTCAAGTCAGGGGAGGAGCACATCAGCTGAGGACCTGGTCTGGGTGGGCATTCCTTTGATGGGCAGATTTGGGCTTGGGGTTGGCAGGGGTGGGTCACAGGAAGGCTTTCAAAGAGGGTTTCATTTCACCTCAGGGCAAAACAAAAACAGGAAAGAAAAATACTGCGCTCTTGTTATACTGTTAGAGTAATAGTTCCTTAGGCACTTTCTTTAGGCTTTAAAACATAGCGCATGGTCAACAAAAGCAAACAATACTATGTACATATATGTAAAAAGTGTTATAAATAGGTTTTTTAAACCATAGATACTATATACATCTTCAATTAACAAGTAACCATTTGTTTATTTCCTTTGTTTTTTTGTTTTTGTTTTTTGTGTTGGGGGGGTGCTCGGGTTTTCTTTTTTGGTTAATTTTTTTTTCTGTTTTCTCGTCTATTTTTCCCCGCCTCTATCCCCTCCATGGATGTCACGAGTGCCCCTGTCTTGGCCACCTCGCCTCGAGCTTCATTATTCGCGCTTCCTTAAGATGATGTAGATCACTCCGCTGATGGCGGCCAATGGGAAGGCCACCCAAGCCAGGATGTAGGCAAAGCCGAAGGAGATGTCATCTGAGGGTATCTGCCACTCCGTGTATCTCACTGTGAAGATGGCTGCACCGCTCATCACACATAGCCCTGGATCAGGGGAAGCAAACATGGAACAAGGGTGAGTGATGTCGTGCTGAGAACACGGGCCTGTGCATTTCAAGAACTGGGTTTACATCCTCATCAGGGAGGTCTGAAAGGACAAAGCTGAGCAGCACCAATAAAACTCTTAAACTGCAGCAGAGGAAATTTAGGTTGGAGATTAGGAAGACATTTCTGACTATGAGGATAGTTGAGTAGAGGGATAAGCTGCCTAGAGAAGTTGTGAAATCTGTATCCCTGGATATTTTCAAGAGCAGGTTAGACAGACAATACTTGGCTGGGATGGTTTAGTTAGGGATGATCCTGCCTTGAGTCCTACTTTCCTACAATCTAAAACCTTGTTCTACCTTGCACCACAACCAGAAACCTGATACAAAATCTTAGGTGTATGGGAATACAGATGGAAAAACCTGCTGGGGAGTAAAGAATGATCAAATCATGTGCATCTACGGTCCATGATAGCTAGAGAGATGAAGAACCTTTCGGACTGATTCAAAGATACTGTATACACTAAGTTTTAGCAGCTAAAATACAAGTTTCATGAACAGGTCTCGTGTGAGGAATTCAGAGTTACATTAGTTTGTGCTGAGCTCTGCAGTGCTGCAGCTAGACGGGTACAGGGACATGAGTCAGCTAATTTAAAGCTTCTGTGTCTGCAGTGCAGACAAACCCTCAGATCTCATCCCTGGGGAATTCAGAGCTTGCGTCCATTTCTCTGACACAGCAGAAGCTTGGGCTCATTTATGAATGCCCCAGGCCATGTGTTAGGTACAGGCACAAAACTTCCAGCAGTCATTTTACAGCTACAGGTATGACCCGGAGGACCATTCTGCCTATGAAATCCAAGCACACATCTGCCAAAGCTTTTTTTAAAAAATGAAAAGGAAAGATGAAGGTGTTAGGCTAAGTACTTTCCAGATTTAAAGTACCAAATGCTGTACCAAGTTTTAAACTGCCAGGTAACTGCTATTTCTAGCACTTATGCAGTTTGGAGTCCACGCCACTTGGATTTCCTTGAACTCTCCAGCTGAGTTGCACCACAGCTGTGTAAGTGTCCAGGGGGAACAGAATTGCCCAAGTACACACATAATGCTGGGTAAGTCCCAAAACTTTTGACCATAAAAACCATGACTGGTGGGTCTTTTAGCACAGTTGCCTAGTGGTTAGGACACTTGCCCAAGCAGAGACTTAAATTCTAGACACTCCCTCACCCAAAGGGGATTTGAACCTGCCTCTCCTACTTATTGAAGTGCTTCAATTACCAAGACATGGGCTAGGTCAGTGGTGTCCAACCTGCAGCATAAGTGCCACAACAACTTGGCAGGCTCTGTGTTGCATACAGCAGATCAGGAAAGGGACAGGCAGCGTAGCAGCCAATAGGCTAGAGAGCAGTAAGGAGAGCAGGAGATCAGGCAGGAAGCAGAGAGCAGAGGAGGAGATAGGGCCGGGAGCACAGAGTAGGGAACAAGAAAGAGCATCAGAATCAGCAGAGGAAGGAGTTCAGAGTAGCACCCAGGGTGGGTGCAGGGCTCACTTGTGGTGTGCCTGCCAGAAAGGTTAGTTCTGCCTGGGCACTGCCCACAGCTCTCTCCAGTCCTCCTCCTGATGTTGCTCTACTGTCGCATACATTTACTTTTCATTGGATAAAGTAGATAACCAGAACAGGGACAGCTTGTGCCATACTGGGGACAGGGGCCAAACTAAGGCCGAGGACCCTTCCATTCCAAGGTAATAACCGTCATATTGAGCCACCCTCCCTCTGAAATATTTTTCTCCTCCTGACTGCCCAGTAAGCCTGCTTCAAGAGCAGGGCTGGACATGCTCTGGGCAATGTCTCATGCTTGGCCTAGTGATTGAAGCATTTTGTTTGCAAGTAAGAGAACTAGGTTCATATGCTCTGTAGGCAAGTGGGGTCTAAATCCTGGATCTGTTGCTCCCTAACTAAGTTTCCTAACCACTAGACTACTGAACTGAAAGTTGGAAGGGCCCTGCTCTATCAAACACCTATCATGGATTTTCTACAACTGAAGTTTCAGCAGTAACCATGTAACTGGGCACTTGTGTGGCTATAGCACAGCCGATTGAGCATGCTCAGCACGGAAACAGAGGATGTGGAATCAAACAGTGCACAAGTGCCTACATAAGTGCCAATGAGGCACGTGGGGTGAAAAAAGATTTAGTCCACAGTGTCAGTGCCACCCTTAGGACATTCCTTTAATGATAAGGCATTCCCTTCCCTTCTCTTTATTCTGCGTGCATTGTATCCGCTCCCTAGCTTCCCCAAGCCTCAGCTTGGGACCTCTGCACGGCACTTCTGGGAAACGATCTGCTAGACAGTGGGGGCATCGACGCACGCACTTTACTGAGGAGCTCACTAATTATCTCTGCAGTAAAGCATCTCTGTCTACATGAGCGGCACTATTAGGCTGGAGTAATTAACTGGAGTAACTAACTCCTCTGAGGGGTAGTACGCAAGTACTATACTATGGTGGAGTTATTTACTCATAGTTGGTAGGGTCGGAAGAGACCTGAGCAGATCATCAAGTCCAACCCCCTGCCATGGGCAGGAAAGAGTACGGGGGCCAAACGACCCTGGCAAGGTGTCTGTCTAGCCTCCTTTTAAAGACCCCCAGGGTAGGAGCGAGCACCACTTCCCTCGGAAGTTGGTTCCAGATCCTAGTCGGCCTGACTGTGAAGTAGTGCCTCCTGATATCCAGCTTGAATCTACTCTCGGTCAACTTATGGCCGTTATTCCTTGTTACTCCCAGTAGTGCTCGGGGGAACAGGGACTCTCCCATTGCCTGCTGGTCTCCCTTGGCCAGTTTGTAGATGGCCACCAGATCCCCTCTCAGCCTTCTCTTGTGGAGGCTGAACAGGTTTGGGTCTCATAGCCTCTCCTTGTACGGCCTGCCCTGCTGCCCCCTGATCATGCAAGTGGCCCTCCTCTGGACCCTCTCCATGTTGTCCACATCCCTCCTGAAGTGTGGCGCCCAGAACTGGACACAGTACTCCAACTGCGGCCTGACCAATGTCGCATAGGTGGGGAGGATCACCTCCCTGGACCTGCTCAAGATGCATCTGTAGATGCATGACAAGGTGCGGTTAGCTTTCCTGACCGTGTCCCCATATTGACGGCCCATGCTTGTCTTGGAGTCAATAATGACTCCAAGATCCTTTTCGGCCTCTGTGCTGATGAGAAGGGAGTTCCCCAGCCTGTAGGTCTGCTGCTGGTTCTTCCTCCCCAGGTGCAGCACCTTGCACTTGTCAGTATTGAATCCCATCTTGTTCTCATCCGCCCACCCCTGTAACCTGTCCAGACCCAATTCAAGCCTGTTCCTCCCTTCTAGCGTGCCCACTTCTCCCCACATCTTAGTGTCATCTCCGAATTTGAACAAGGTGCTTTTCACCCCCTTGTCCAAGTCACCGATGAAGATGTTGTACCGTGCGGGCCCGAGGACCAAGCCCTGGGGAACCCCGCTGCACACATCCCTCCAGGCTGAAAATGACCCGTCCACCACCACTCTCTGGATGTGGCTCTCCAGCCAATTTGTGACCCATCTGACTGTGTAGGCATCGACACCACAATCTCCTAATTTTTTAACAAGAATAGGGTGAGAGACAGTGTCGAAGGCCTTCCTAAAGTCCAGAAAAACTAAGTCCACCGCGACACCTGCGTCCAAGGATTTTGTGACCTGGTCATAGAAGGCCACCAGGTTGGTCTGACAGGACCTGCCTCTAATGAACCCGTGTTGGTTTCCCCTAAGCATAATCTTCCCTGCTGGCCCCTCGCAGATGTGCTCCTGGATAATTTTCTCAAAGAGCTTCCCCAGGACCGAGGTAAGACTAACAGGCCTATAATTTCCTGGGTCTTCCTTCCTCCCTTTTTTGAAAATGGGGACGGGACTACATTGGCCCTTTTCCAGTCCTCTGGCACCTCGCCAGAGCACCATGAGTGCTCGTAAGGCCATGCCAGGGGTCCCACAATGACCTCTACTAATTCCCTCAGCACTCTGGGGTGGAGATACTTTACCCCAATGCACGTGTAGATAGTGACTGGGGCTAGCTGGGACTGCTTGCCAGCTAGCCCTGCACTATAGTGCCCAACCACAGCCTCCACAGCATGTTGAGCCGGGGCAGAGCAGCTTCGGGCTAGCAGGCTGACCCCCCGTGCCCCCTGTCATTTGGGGCTGCATCGCCCTGGCTCATCATACTTCAGTCCCAAGCACATGTATAAATGTACAAATTGTGCCAGAGTTTATTCAGGTGCACTAATTGCACATGTAGATCTGCCCAATATCAACAGTATCCACTCTAGCACTGTACCAAAAAATATCAGCCTCCAACGTTACAAAGCTTTTGCACAAAGCCACCACTATTTCCCACTGAAAACAAGGTTTTTTAGTTGATCCCAGCAATTCTATTATATGTTCACTGTGCCATCATTGGAGCTAACTCTGTTCCAAATCTCTCGGACAGACCTTGGGACCACCTACATCTAACCACAGTGATATTTGAGCTGCTATTTTGCTTTACACTGTCCCTTTGTTCAAATAAAGTGCAGAAGTGGGAATATGTTTAATTAACAAGCTGCTGCTGCAGTTTCCATTTTCTGAGCAGACACGAGAACTCCTACTGCATTAGCCCATGCAGAAAAAGCAAAACAATTGTCTCTTGACACTGGCAAGATAGAAAACAGGCTTGAATCTATGCTAAAGTCACCTACAGATAACTCGAAACACAGCAGCAATTGTCCTTTTTGGGAATGTGGTTGCATAGAACACATGCTAATGACTATTTCCACTGCAGACACAGGAAGGACCGTAGCATAACTGATTCTGAATATGGGAATATGCTCAAAGGGTAAAGCTCACGGTGAGCAGTCAAGGGTGCCAGGGTTTTTTTCCTGCT